GATTTCAAGCGGAGCCAAGGTTCCATACGCACGGGCATGGCGAAGGGGGTCGCGGAAGGCTTCTCTAAAGATGCTTTCGGCACCTCCAACCTTCCCTCGGTTCGTAACAGCTAAATTCAGATGCCAGGTCTTCATACGTTTCTTGAGACATCTCTTTCATATGGAGAAATTTGAATTTCTATCGTAAATGAAAGCATGACTCATCAAGTTATATTGATTTTTTATCTTTTTCTCTTTATTTTGAGGGGAGGTAAGGCGTAGACTATTGTGTGAAGAAGGAATTCTATGTATCCCAGGTGTTGATTTATGGTTTTCCTTTGAATCGGGTTGAATGGAATTCCAGGTACTGGTTTCTTTTTAGCTGGGGCTGCGCCTTTGTAAAATTGATACGGAATTCAGCAGTGAAAGGCATAGGAAGAAAGCAAGAATTTTGAGTGGTGAGGTGGGGTTTGCATAAATATAATTATTTGTGAAAATTAATATGGGTAAATATGGCTCTTATATACACTTCTGTTCTCGCCGGTGGTGACGTTATCACGCTTATGAGGGTTCTGAAGAAAGCTAGCGGCACCAAAAGATATATATTTTTTCTTTTTTGATAGCAGTATTTCGGTTCACCCTGTGGTTGGTGCTTTTTTGCATCAAAACAGAAATAATCTAACTTGATGGATACCGGTAAAAAATAAACTTTGCACTCTCTCTGCAGAATACGCTCTGGCGAGTTACTGGACCCTTCATCTGCGTCATGAACTTTGCGTTGGAAAAGAAGAGTGCAAAGGGCGTGTTGGTCGCTGTGGGAGCCCGTTTCTTTTACAAAGCGTAAAAAGTGGAGTTGTAACGCTTTTAATGGGCTAGATGCTATCATCCTCCCTGGCGCAGTCGGCAGCGCGTTAGGCTGTTAACCTACAGGTCGTTGGTTCGAATCCAACGGGAGGAGNCATCCTCCCTGGCGCAGTCGGCAGCGCGTTAGGCTGTTAACCTACAGGTCGTTGGTTCGAATCCAACGGGAGGAGCTTTTCAACCAAATCAGACCCTTGGTTTGCAACAAATCTTTTTTTTTTGCAGTTTACCATGGTTTTTTTTTGAGTAATTGCATTTATGAGGTATTTGATTCATTTCCAAAAAAAACACGTTGGGGGCTTAGCTCAGTGGTAGAGCATTGGATTCCAAATCCAGGGGTCGCAGGTTCAATCCCTGCAGTCCTCATTTTCACCTTTTATGAAAAAAGGTAATGGAGTATATTAGGTTTGCTTAAATTGAGAAAAACCTTGCCCCAGGAACTGTTGAAGGGGGCTTAGCTCAGTGGTAGAGCATTGGATTCCAAATCCAGGGGTCGCAGGTTCAATCCCTGCAGTCCTCATTTTTTCTCTTAATCCGCCGTTTGTTTCTTGAAACCCCGGCGCGCCGCCCCGCAAAGGCTCGCACTCAATATTGAACGAAGGGCCCCCCCCCCTCAAAAAATAAAAGACAGAAAAGAACCGGCGAGGAAGTTTTTTGTTTTGTTTTCTGGTTCGTTTCTTGTTTGGCCTTCGAGTCCGCGTGGCCAGCCGGCGGGGGACCTGCTCTGTTTTTTTTTCTTTGTGCCGGTCGTTGGGCTGGGGCTTTTTCCCCGATCTTTTGTTTTTTTTTTCTATGTGTGCGGAATGGGGTGGGAAGGTTGGGGCGCGTCGTTGGCAAGGACTGTTTGTTCATACGGGTAATTTTGGGTTTATGTCTGCGTGCGTCTGGGGTGGGTAATTTTTTTTCTCTTGTTGGTGAATTTCTGGTGTGAAATTTTCTTTTTTTACGTCTANCTGCGTGCGTCTGGGGTGGGTAATTTTTTTTCTCTTGTTGGTGAATTTCTGGTGTGAAATTTTCTTTTTTTACGTCTATCAATTTCTTGATTAGCAAACTTCCCACCCCGTCCCCACATCTGGAAAAAGAAAGAATTGGTTTTGAGAGCGTATCGATTAGATGCTTAGGAAGAGTCTGGTGGGCACTTTCCGTGGTACAACACGGTGTCTTGCAAATCTCCATGCGAGCGAAATATCAACACCAGATCGAGCTACAGTTAATTCAAAGAACAAGAAGGAGCTCAAATCACCACTTTGTGTTGAGTTGATAAGTAAAATGTCTTCCCAGGGATACTTTCCCATGTCACAGTTTGTCAAGGAATGTCTGACGCACCCACAACACGGATATTACTCTGCCAAGAAGCACGTTATTGGTAGTGAAAAGGCAGATTTTATCACCGCAGCGGAAATACCCTTCTTTGGTGATGTTATTTCCGCTTGGATTATGGACGCATGGCAGAAAATGGGGACACCACGTGTTCTTCACCTGGTTGAGCTTGGTCCGGGTAAGGGAACACTTATGAAAACCATGTTGAAGCAGATAAAATACTCCAATCCTCATTTACTTCATTTTTTGCAGATTCACCTTGTTGAGGTTGGAGCAGCTCGCATGGAAGAGCAGAAGAATTCACTTGCCGAGTTTCAAACCGCACAAAAACGGATAAAATGGTGGATGAATCTGGAGTCAATTCCGTATACATTGGAGCCAACTATATTCATAGCCAATGAGTACTTTGACGCCCTTCCAGTCGCCCAATTTCGCTACACGGAGCGGGGATGGGTAGAGACATGTCTAGAGGTTGATGAAGATCCCGCGAATGAAGCACATTTTCATATGGTACACGCCCCCTCTGGTTCGTTCTCAGCCTATCTTATACCTAATGATGTACGCACTAACGGGAAACTCGGTGACTGTATTGAAGTTAACGCAGTTGGTATGCAAACTATGGAATTGATTATGAAAAAAATGGTTGAATGCCAAAAAGCAGCGTTTCTTATCATCGATTACGGGAAAGATGAGCATATGCACAGTACATTAAGAGGAATACGTGGACATAAGTTTGTGGATCCTTTGCTTTCACCTGGTGAGGTCGACCTTTCGTCATGGGTTAGCTTCAAGCAGTTACGATGGGCATTGGAACGCTTGGAAACAGCTAGACAACACTTAAAATGGTTTCCTTTAATGACTCAACGCGAGTTTCTTCAGTGGGGTGGAATTGATATAAGACTTGCGCATGTCATTAAGGACGAAGAGACGAAGAGCGCCATGAAAATATTACAAAACTATCGAAGACTTATGGACAAGGAAGAAATGGGTGAAAGTTACAAAGTGTTTGTTGCACAGACGAGAAATTTTCCGAACGTCTCACCATTTTTCGAGGAGATGCCTTTGCCTCCGTTGACGACCGGGAGTTAGGAAGGTATTCTCTAACTCTTCTTTCTCCCTATTCTGAGAAGATTTATCAGTCTACGAGAAGACAGCAGGTATACGGTGTGTCAAAAAATGACTTACGCTTTTTTACATTCCATTATTGTTCCCTTGGTTTTCTGCGGAGGCTGGTTGGAAGTGACATCACCCCCTAGTTGATTAACTATTGTTCTTAAGAACTTTAGTGAAGAGGGTAGTTAAAGAGACCACTACCTTTGGCTTGGTTGTTTATGAGAAGGTACGCTTTCGGTGGAAAGGGTGGTAGTGTGGTACACATTGCTGCTTCTGGCTCATTTCATGGGTTTTCTCGGCTGGCCGTAGGTCCTCTAAAAGGACAATCCGATGCATCCCAATTCTTGAACTATACAGCTACACTGTTTCAGCAGCGTCACTATGCCATTGGGGCAAATAAGGTACTTCAATTACGAAATATTACTGAGAATACGCTTGCTGACACCCCTTCTGGGTACATACAAGACCCCGCAAATCATCCAAAACAAATGGTTACTTACCAGAGGTTATCTTCTGAGGCCCAGGCTGCCCTTGATGCATTGGAACGTGAAGAAGATCTAATGCAACGTGATGAACTAGCCTACAGTGGTTACACTACCATACCTATTCAGGAATGGAAAGAAGTCGTTCTTAATAGTCGCAGCACACAACAAGAGCTCGAGACGGCTTGCGATGGGCTCCAGCAAGCTCTCAGAGAGTTGGTGGGGCAGATTGGATCTACGGTTGAAAAAAGGTCAACCCGGCACACCTTGCATTCGCTTCTTGACGAAGATAGGAAGACGGTGAATGATGATGTATCTAGTGATCCTATTGTAGTTAGTGAGGATGATTGCAATCATGTACGATACGTCATTGCGTTGGCATTGCGAAGGCTGAATCAATATGACATGGCCGAGAAAATATGCATGGAGATTCTCTCTTCTGATCACTCAAACTGCGACGCTTTGGAGTGTCTCATAGAAATCTTCACAGGTACCGAACAACCAGAAAAAATCCATCTGTTATTTGACCAGTTGGAAAGGTGGGATTATGAAGACGAAGAAATGAGACCAAAAGACGGAAAGGATTCTCCTGATACTACGATTACCGAAACTGGCGGGAACAAACTCAAGCTGGTTGAAATGACAATGGTTCTTCTTACAGATGTGATAATAGAGGCAGCTTCATTGCACTACGTGGAGCATGGAGAAGGTTCGACATCACGCTACTTTCTCGAAGTCCTTTCTTCAATCTCTCGCTCCGTAGGGCCGAGATATACATCACTGCTTATAGAGTCTCTCTTTCGAGCCCTAGATGAACAGCACTTTGCTGCGCGTTTCAACACTTGTTCCAATAAAGAAACTGAAAATACAATCGGATTGGTTATCAGTTTTCTGAAAATGCTCTTGGCGAGGGATATGTGGGAGTTATCGGAAGACCCTGTAAGGTTCGAATTTCATCTCCTTTCTAAGCTCCATGCTGCACTTCGGTTTAACGGACGGAAACACGAAAGCTACAAGGTTTGTGAGCGACTCATAAAGTTGTATCGGAGTAAGTCTGCAAGGTATGACATTTCCACAGAAAAGAGGAAGGTAGAAAATGAGGAGGGCTTACTTGACGATCTTGAGCCAGCCTATAAAACAGCCTTTTTCCAGTATGTTGAGGATCGTGCTTTGGACTCACTGGTTGTTGGTAAACGTTTGTGTGTTCAGGCCATTGAAGAGTTTCCTGACGACGCATCTCCATGGGAAACTCTGGCACTTATATTGCACAAAGAAGATCCCATCAAAGGACTAGATGATGCCATTGTTGCTGCAAAAAAAGCCTTCTCCCTGGACCCTAGAAACCTGCGCATCATCCTTACTCTTGCAAACTTTTATAAAGCCCAAAAACGGTACAACCTTCATGGGATAATGATGGATCGTTATCGACGTTTAGACTACCTTCTTGAGTCTGAGGCAAGTGAGGAAGAGATCAATGCTGCTCTTGAAGAGATAGAAAATATAGATGAAATGATCCCTCGTGAGACAGAACCCGATGAAGTCAGTTTGCAGTCTGCCGCTATGCAGGAACATATGGAACGAATGGAGGTGGCACAAACATATAGCATGCCAATTGATAAGGAAGAACGGCTTTTTGGAAGGCAACCAATGTCAGTACCCATGCTAGACCCGTCGATTAACGCTGAGAAACCGAAAAGATTGGTGGACAATGAAAGAGATCTATGTGAATGAGACTGGCCGCCGTGGAGCTTAGGTGTTTTTTTTTTGTGAAAAGCTTTGGTGTCGTATTACTGTTGCAGAACACCCTTTTCAACTGCTTGTATTTTTTTTTCGTGCGTTTATTTTTGATGCAAGCTCAGGATTTCGTGTAAGCTTGGAGATATATGTATGACTGTATGTGCCTTGGGGGATCTTTTTTTTTTGTCGCTCCGCTTTTTTTTTGTTTTGTTTTGTCTTGTCTCATGGAACGTGCGCATACTTGTTAATCTAGCCTAAGGAAACAATATAGGGTCACGCTGAGCTTCATCCAACAGAAGAACAAATATGGACAGATCACTTGAAACGATTGAAGCCGCTGAAAGGCTTGAAGAGCTTTCACAGGATATTTTATTCCTCGTAATGCTGATTTTTTGTGGTGGTACTTTCTTCATGACGCACATGTCCAAAATACCTCTACCGTACACAGTTGTTTTATTTTTGTACGGTATCTTTGTCGGATGTGTGGCCCGTGTGTTCACCCCAGGTGTTGCCACTGCACTCGGCGGCATTCCACCGGATCTGTTATTCTACATCTTTCTACCGGTGTTGATATTTGAAGGCAGCTACGCTATGAATGTTCATGCCTTGCGTCGTGTATTCCCCCAAGTGCTGCTGCTAGCTTCTGTTGGTGTAATTGTCAATACTGGGTTGCTTGCCCTCGCTGTAAAGTGGTTCTTTGTGGAGTGGTCATGGTATGCGTCGCTGTTGCTGGGATCTTTGTTGTCCGCGACGGATCCCGTGGCCGTGGTGTCGTTGCTTAAAGGCCTTGGTGTGGACAACAGGATCACTGCAATGGTGGATGGGGAAGCTATAATGAATGATGGAACCGCGATCATTGCCTTCAAACTTCTGCTACCTGCTGCGCGTGTTGGCCGTGTGGAGGATGCCTGCTGGGTAATACTGTTGAGGTGTGTTCAGCTTGCAGTCTTACCTGTTATTATTGGGCCTATTTTTGGCTTTATAAAAGCGTATTGGTTGCGCCATACCACAAATGGATTGGTGAAGGCATGTGTTACAGTATCCGTCACCTACGTATCTTACTACGTGGCTGGAAATATTATAGGCACTAGTGGTGTATTAACACTTTTCTTCAGTGGAACATTTTTAAGTTATTACTGTCCTTCTATATTTCCTGGGCGGGAAGGGAACTTGATCCATGAAATATGGGAATTTCTGGTTCACCTCGGAAACACGGTACTTTTTTCACTGGTCGGCGTCATACTTGTGGCAGATGTTGTGCCTACGCTAAGGCTACAAGATGTTTTGGTTATTGTGAGCATGTATGCCGTGATGATTTTAGCACGATTGATCATGTTGGAGGTCCTTTTACCTATTCTCAACCTCTTTTCATATCGTCTGTCACAGCGGGAGGTTGGTTTACTCGTGCATTCAGGTCTTCGAGGTGGGGTGGCAGTGACATTAGCTTTGGCGGTGGTTCAGTCCCGAATAGAGGTAGGTGTGGAAATACTGAAAGTAACATGTGGAGTGGTGCTCTTGACGCTGATGATCAATGCCACAACAGCAAAAGAGGTGGTGGCCTTTTTGGGACATAAACGCAAGGAGCAGCACCGAATGGTTCAAATGGAGTACGCCGTTGAACACCTTGGGTATGTCGCTGAAAAGGCGTTGCAAATTACTAAAAGTAATCCATTTTACCGAAATGCAAACTGGAGTGCAGCAGAGAACTATGTAAAAGATTATCTCTGTAATCCATATGAAGAAATGAGCACCTTGAAAGAGGACGACGATGTCATTGTGAACCGGCTTCTTATGAGAGCGTTTAAGGCCTCTTTGTGGCGTCAGCGTGATGATGGTCTTGTGTCTGAAACTGTTGCTCTCACTATTGCACGCGTTGTAGCACGGGCCATTGATAGTGGACGTTTGGTTGAGGTAGTAGATCTCCGTGTGAGACAACCTTCCCCGGGAGTGCTAGTTAATGAAGAAGAGGAAGCGGAATTGATAGAAGAGAATCTTTTGCCACTTTGGGTGACGGTTTCAGAATTTTTTCTGGGGAAAGGGTACTGGAAAAAAGTGTATGTGCGCGTTCAGCAAAATGCATTCATGATTTTACTTTCATTTGCGCGGTGTCTGGCTGATGTTGGACCCATCAAATACCAGTATGCTAAAGACGGACAACAGGGACAACGCATTGAGGCGTGGGTAACATCACAGAGAGAAGAAGTTTACCGTGTTATACGAAACTTCTACGAAATATATCCCACTGCTACCATGTGTGTAGCTACCACCCGTGCGGTACTAAGGGCAGTGGATGACATTCGTAGGGAATTAGAAAAGTTGCACGATTCTCACGGCTTTGGCTTTAGGACTGTAACGGTGCTGGAAGAGGTTGTGCATGAAATGCACGAACACATACCAAACTCATGGGAAGCCCCAAGACGTAACAATGAGTTGGTGATTGCGGCCCTTGCAGCAACACCACTGGGCCGCGGCCTTGATCCTGAAGAAGTGAACGCACTAAGCGCTATGGGTGTCACAAAGGTGCTCAATGAGGGTGATGAGATCAAGGTAGATGACAAGGTGTTCTACATCGTTGTTTTTGGTTTCCTGAAGCCAAAACGCGGTCGATGGACGGCTTCCAGTGATGGTGAAAGCGGATTTGGAACCGTTATTGGTCTTGAAGGTTTTGTCATGCCACCACAGTTGCTTGAGGACCAGTTAAATCTGTGGGTTGTAACATCTGCCGAGTGTCAGGTTCTTTGTATTTCATACAGGTGTGTCAAGCCTTTTCTGTGGGAAAAATCATTCGATTCTGTTCAAGCATTCTGGAGAGCTGTGGCTGTGGAAACGCTTCTCCCGTCATTAGAGAAAATGATAACACTTCCATTGAATCTGGAGGAATCTTCACGAGTGCACTTGACAGCTATAATCATGGATGGAAAGCCGCTTATTGGCCCAAAGGAATGTAACACAATGGACTGGTCAATTCCGTTTCACTTGTGTTTCTATCTTCGTGGATCAGATACAACTGGTTTGTTTTGCAGCGGGCACACATCTCCCTGTTACATTTCGTCCCTCTTTGCCAGACAGCTGAAATGGGAAGATCCACAGGTTGTGTTATATGCTGTGCCGGTGAATGTGAGTGATAACGGTTACGTCCCATGGTCTCAAAACGCATCAGTCAATCGGCGCGCCTCTTTGTTACTGCGCAGGAGTTCTGTAGCTGAAGTGGACTTTGTTCCTCCACTGGAAACGGAGGATATTCGCATGGGGAACTCCAGCACGTATGCGGAGGCGGCTGATATCTTCAATGCCATTCTGCGTGGGCATATCCCCGGTGAAGAGGAGCCTGCCCCCTCTAGTATCCCACAGGACCCGATAGATTATAGCACCCCTGATGGAAAAGACGTCTGCGTCTTGCAAAACCCAGCACAGTTTGTTACAAATGTGCCATATGTAAATCAGTTGTTTCTGCGGTACGCATCCATGTTAGAAGTTCTCTGTATAGCTGCTTTTCGGTACCTTCGAATGCCTTCAGATCCTTTTAACGTGAGGAACGCACAGTACATCTCGGAGCAGGCGCTGGAATTCTTGATGAGTTTCTGCAACGAGCTCATGTTGTTATCCGCGGCGTTGCGTCGCTCTCATTGTATGATCTCGCAGCGAAGTTCTTCCTCTGCAACTCCTGACGCCGTTGCCAACGAGAAGGAAGATAATGAATTGGAGGATATGAAGTTGATCTGTAAGGTGATCATGTGGAACCGCACGGCAGCGACACACAAAGCTTTTCATTTGAAGTCTATGGTGCTTGAGATGAAATTGCTGGCCAACCGGCGCTTTCGTGGCCTCTCTGAGTCGTTAAGGGCTCTTGAGGAGGAGGAGCCCAGTTTAAAGGAGGCAGATTGTGTTGAGGAGTTGCAACGCGTTCTACTGGGTCTCAACCGGTGATCTCTTAATCTATGAAACCAGAAAAAAAAAACAAGGAATATAACACGGAATAAAATAGCACTAGGTCACTAATGAGATGTAAGCCAACTAAGTGATATGTGTGTGTGTGTGTGTGACTACGCCTTAAAGTTCTAAGAAAAAAAAAATGACGGCTTCAATGACTCGAGACACTGCAATTTGTAGCACTTTCTTACCGTTACCCCCCACGTCATCATCTAGGCGTAATTGGTGATCTGTCAAGTTGAAGAATATTGAAACAGTGCGTGTTATTCGTTTCTTGTTTCTGTGTTCTTGTTCTCCTCCTTCCTTCGTTTCTCCCATGACGCAAGCCGTAACAAATAGACATTGCTCACACACCATGGATCCTGCTGAGGCAGCGGCGGCGTATTTGACCTCCGTTTTTGAAAGAATGGGGGTGCCGTGCAGAGTGAGCAACACACCGGAAAAAGGAAAGCACGTTGTTGCAACAGCTGACATCCCAGCACAGAGCGATCTCTTCGAAGAGGCACCCATCGTGTCGTGGCCAGCGCAGAGTTACGTGGAGATTGGCATTCCCTTCTGCTCGCACTGCCTCCGGCAACAGAGGAAGATAGACGCGACGAGGGGAAGCAGGGGTAGGGGCACGTGGAGTACCTGCAACGGCTGCGGATCATTTTTCTGTTCAGACATCTGTGAGTCATCCAGCAGGACTGCGCATCGTATCTTGTGTTGTGTTTTGAAAGAGCTCCGGGAAGAAAAGGTAAACGCGAACCTTTGCACTGACAGTGTCGATGATACCCGCTACAAGCCCATCACAAAGGAGTCGCTGGCACGGTGTGTGGCGTGGATTGTTTCTCGCATTGCAACGAGCATCCAGCAGCAGAAGTTTAGTGGCAAGGTGCTTGGAGAGCACCACAACGAAAATGGAGAGAGTATTGCCCGGCAACTCTTCCACATTGCCACTGCGCCTTTTAATCGCCTTATCGACGTCCCTAGAGGCACAGAGTTCGCTGATGTGGATGCTGCTGCATGGTATCGGACCGTGGATGAGCTCCTTCGAGAGCCTTGCCGTGCTGCCCTGTTGGGAGCTGCTGCTCAACCATCCGCCGATGGCGACGTCTGGGCAGAAGAAATTGTCGATGCTTTGTTGCGTCACGACACCCTAGAATCCTTACTTGGTCAGATGACGCTTAACGCACAGGCGTTAAACAGTTTTCTCCTGTTTTCCCCTTCCAGTGGTGGGGCACCTTCTTCCGCTACTCCGCCTGCGGAATGGGTTCTAAAGGGCGGCGGCGTTTATACTTTGCAATCTGCCTTCAACCACTCGTGCCGGCCTAATGTGATTGTGAGTGCGATGGATGGTACACATGACATCACATTGCGTACACTCCGCCCAGTAAAGAACGGGGAGGAGCTCACCATCACGTACATACCACTCAAGGACACCACGCGTGAAAAGCGGCACGCACTGCTGAGGGGGTACTTCTTCACGTGCCACTGCCCTCTCTGCAAAGAGGAGGAGACGGCCACGGATGCTTCCAATGCGTAAGAGGCAAATTGCTTAAGAGTGAGTAGACGCTTTAGAAGACCACAGCCGTCAGTGAAAGGAAAAGAGAAAAAAATGAGTGTCATACTCTTGTTGTTCCGCTTACACTGTATGATTGTATTTTTTTACCTTTTTTTTTGGTTTATTGTATTTTATTCATCAGGCACCCGTTCTCTGCTTTATTCTGGCATCCACACACCAGCCGTATTCAAAACGGAAAAAAGAAAATGTGAAGTGTCTTCTCACACCTGTGTACTGCGGTGCTTGGGTTCTCGCCAAGACGTGTGCGCCATCGATGCAAGAGCTTCTCCTGATGGACAATGCGGCGGTGCTGTCGCGGCGGCTCGTCAGCAGCGGGCATCTTGCAACGCTGCGCCTTTTCCGCCGACGGACGCTCTTCGCCAACACGCAGAACGACCTGGTGGTTGGATTTGCAACGTCTTCTTTGCTGTTCGACGATGCGCAGGGCGACAAGGTCTGCGTCTTTGGTGCCACGCCGCGAGCCCTCCCGTGCACCGCCGCCGCCTTTTCGGACGACCGTAGTGCGTGGTCGACAGTTGTGCATCTCCCGCGACTGCACGACAGTGAGACGGCGGCAGCGCTGTCACACACGATCCGCGATCTGCGGCAAGGAGGCTGGGGTGAGGAGCAGGCGCAGAAAAAAGAGCTGGCGTCCCCTACTCATCTCTCGCCGCACGCCATTGCTGCAGCGTTGCGGCAGGAGCTTGACTGGCGCGTCGTGGCGTTGCGGTATACCAGTGTGTGGCCAGTGGCCCACTTGGAGTGTCTGGGCATGCTTCGGCAGTATAGTGCCGCGCCCGAGATGGTGCAACGTGTTGCGCAGGAAGTTTTGGAACTGCATTAGTAAGTAAATATAAGACACTTTCTATTCTCGGCTGCAGCAGTGATCCTCTTCTTCCCCAATATCCACTTTATTCTTTACTCGTTGACAGCTGCCTCTCCAACGCTTACTCACGTGACTAGGACGGCAGAAAGGGGGAGGCACGCAAAGGGATGTTGGGGGAACTTCCCCCTGTCGTGGCGTTGCCGTCAAATCCAGCAGCGGTCCTAGCGCCCGTTCCTTTATTCCTTCGCTGCAGAGGCCTCTACAGTGCGAGGACTGCAAGCCACGGCAGCGAGTGCGTGTCGCGGAAGCACGTCGTTAGTGGCCAAGCGGTAGGAGCTCCAGTAGTGCCGTCTCGGGCAGACACCACACAGCCGCAGTCGTCTCGCGTGGTGAGCGATGAAGTCGCACTACCCTCAGCCACCCCGAGGAACAACAATCAAGGGAACAAAAGCACAGGCAGTGATATTAGCAGCAGCAGCAAAATCGGGGAAGCAGCTGCTGCACTAAATGGTCACAACTTGGCTGCGCTGACAGAAAATGATGTGGATGTCCTTCTCGAAGTACTGGAGTCTCGCTACGATAAATACTCAGCAGTGAAGAAGCGGACGACGGAGCAGTACCTGGCTCGCATAGAGAATGAGGTTGATCGCTTTTTGTTGATTTACTACGGCGGAAGCTCCTCTCGGTTTAGTGGTGGCGTTGCGTCTTTCATAAGGAGCAAGCTAATGCCACAGTTTCCGTCGCAGCAGCGCGACACTGGCGGTAAGGGCCACTGTAGGAATGGAACCGGTGAGACTCCTGGAAACAGCGTCAATGGCACAAACATCAGCAGTAGCAACCAAAGTGGTGGACTGCCGACGTTGCAGGAGTCCTCTTACTCGGCTAATGTCATTCCATTCAACTACTTGGATGTTCGACCAGCAAACATGCAGTCCATCGCCGGTAATCTCGTGGTGCTTCGACACTGCTTGGAGGAGTGCTCCTCGCCTGGAAGTGCCGTGCGACAGTCGTTGGTTGACCCTATTGTCCGCGGTGTCTGGGACCAATCACTGACACCTCTAGAGAATAGTGCTAAAGAGCTCTTGAAAGTTGCACAGCAAAACGTACGCCCCCCACTGGAGTACTTACTTCAACAGCAACAGTGTAATGCTGAGCGAAAACGCGAGTGGAGAGCAAGGTACGACCGCGTCGTGAAGGCGTTACAGGACGACTTGAATTATCTCCGCACTATTTATGAGATGGACCGAGAGAGGGTAAGTGTGCCGGCGCAGGCGAGGCGAGATGTAACAGTGGGACTGTCAGACTACGTCCCTATCAGTGGACTGACCCTCTCTCGTTTGCACCGGCTGGAAAACGAACATCGAACCGTTTGGGACTTTTGGCGGACGCGGAGAGGGAACTTTTAATGTTGCGGTCCTATCCATGTGATTGCCCCCCCCCCCNCCCCCCCCCTTGTGCACTATCCTGTTATGAAGCGGCAGGCTCCTACTTCTGCAGGAATTCCATCTCTCCACTAATAGTGCTATGCATCTATTATTCTGGGCTGTAACAGTTGCCTCCGGTGTTCCGTTTTTTTTTGTTTGCATTACGTTCTTACAAGCTCCTGAGTCCCACGTGGAAGTAACCTTTCATGCTGGTGCGCCAGCGGCGTGGAGCGGAAGTGGTGAGCAATAACAACAACAACAGCAGCAGCAGTAAGTAGCAAGAGGCGAAAACAAGGCAGTGAGTGAAAGGGGTCGTAGATGCAGCGACTAATCCGCAGTCGCCGCAGGTGGAACCTCATGGACATCCGTCAGCGGCCGCCCACGCTGAACAGGCTGCAGGGCGTGCTGCAGCTGTCGCAGCGCCCCGGAAGTGTCGCGGAACACCGCC